AGTATAAACACACTGATTATACCATAATGTATTGAAGGATTATTTTCTGGGACATTGGGCACTGTTATGACTATTTGCTCCAGTTTACAATGGTCCATGATGCTATATTTAAAAAATAAATTTGCCATTTATTGTTTTATTTCTAATCTGATTTCTGAAACAGGATAGAGAAATTAGTAGGAACATGGGCATTGGTATCAAACACATCTGGTTTTGAATCCTGGCCCTACTATTTACTAGTTGTATAGCTTTGGGCCAGATAACTCATCTTTCTGAGCCTTAGTTGTTGTTTTTATTTTTTTACTTTAACTATATAATGGAAACAGTAGTAATCCTTTTATATACTTGTGAGAATTTTATAAGATGACCTAAATAAGGCAGGTAAGCACTGAATAAATAATGGCCATCAACTTACTTTGTTCTGGGTCGCATATTGAACTGTCGGTACCCTGTAAAGTGCATCTGTGAGCCACTCCCTGTATCAGAACCACCTGAGATGCCTAGTAAAAGAGCAGATTTTAAGGCTCCACCCTCAGCTTCCTCTTCTTCTTTTTAATCTTCACCAGGGGATACGTTTATTGATTTTAGAGAAAGAGGAAAGGAGAGAGAGAGAAACATCGATGTGAGAAACATTGATTGGTGCCCCAATCGGAGACCAAACCCACAAACAACCCAAAAACTTTCAGTGTGCGAGATGATGCTCCAACCAACTGAGCCACCCTGGCCAGGGCTGCTGCTTCCTTTTTTAAAAATCTCAACTTTTAATAAATGGTCCAGGGTTAAATTTTTATGTTGACTAAACTTTGAGAACCATTACTTTCAGCCTTCAAGCAAGGATTTGTTGGTCAGATGAGCTTAATCTCTGTGAACAACCTTGGAGAAACAGGTACTGGGAATGATTTTAAGAATATGAGTTCCTGAGTTGCACCTCAAATGTAGCTCAGATTCTAGAGCCACAATACCAAAATTCAGATCCCATCTGTGTAACTTACTCTTTCCTTGGAGAAGTCATTTTAACTCCATGGGTCTCATTTTCCTTTTGTATAAAATGGGGATAATAATAGTACTTACTTCGTAGTGCCGTTGAGAAGGAACACGTTTAGCTCAACGCCATAGTAAACACTACGTGTGACAGCAATTAGTATTATGAGTACATTGTTACTGGAATCTCCAAGGTTTACCTTGAGAGTCAGTATCAGTGATTCTCAACATAGCCACACATTATAATCTCTGGGAGCGCTGAAGATTCCAATGTTCAGGCCATACCCCGGAATGATGAAATCAGAAATATGTGTGGGAAGGACCTACGTATCTGTTTTTATTTTCCCAGTGCTCCAAGGTTATTCCAGTGGATAGGCAAGGCTGAGAGCCATTCTTCCATGGCCTTTAAAAGCTCTCTAGGTGATTCTGATGGTCAGGGAGCACTACCTGAGAGAGGTATGCAGATATCCTTTGTTTTCTTGCACTTCACTTTATTGCACCTAAAGATAATTGGCATCTTTACAAACTGAAGGCAAGGCCCTCCACCAGCAAAAAGATTATGACTCACTTTATTGTGACACTCATTTTATTGCAGTTTCTGGAACCTAACCCACAATATCTGGGAGGTGTGCCTATACCGGTAAATGGAATAGTGGTTAATCTTTATTGAGGGAAGACAGATTAAGAGCTCAGTCTCTGACCAAGAAAGCCTACAGAGCACAGAACTATTATAAAATTACTGAAAGTCTAAGGAAAAAGCTGCTAAAAGAAAAGCTGTGATTGGAATAAAAGTAAAAGGTACAGGATTTAGAATCACTTAGATTCAGATTCAAAACCTAGATCTCCTATTTGTTAATGAGATACTTAATTCACTATAAGCTTCAATTTTTTTCATTGCATAATGTGGATTTTTACTACCTCATTAAGGTTGTTACAAGGATAAAATGGGTTAAAAGATGTAAAACTTTTAGCATACAATGACCCCTGCTTCATAGACATTAAATGAGCACTTATTGTTATTGTTGCTTTTAGAAGTGAGGGTTAATGGAATGCAGAGTGTATGAAAGAGTGAGGAGTCAAGGGTAATATCCAAGTATTTTGCTTAGTGGGATAGGTGGTGGAGGTATGAACCTGAGAGCTGGCAGGCAAGAGGAGTTGGTTTCTGAGATGTTCAGGCTTTTGTTGTGTTTGTAAATCAGCCTCCCCAGTCCTTATCTAATGTTCCTTTTCATCTGAGCTGTACTAGTAAACCCAGACTTATATATTAGTAACAAAATTTGGTAGTTTCATAAAATAAGTATAAGAAAGTTCTGAGTAAGAACCTCAAGGGAACTGACAAATAAACTACACATACTTTATTGCAATCATTTTAAGAACAAGTATTTTGCTGTCTCAAAGTCTTCTTTTGCTGCCTTCCAGATCCAGACCTGGCAGGTTTCTGGCACTTTCAGAGCTAATGGGAATCAGAATTCCATTTAAAACTGCCTCTCACATCCAGTTTATCACTCACCACCTCTTGGTTTGCAGCACCAGTCAGGCCTGGGCTGGAGGGACCTAATAGTCACTTTTGGTTCTTAGACTTCTTTTGGCTTTTTATCAACTGCTGTATATCCCATAACCTCCCAGTGCTAGATTCTCTTGGGTGGGTATGAGCAAGCTGGTTCAGGCCCAGGTGGCCGCTGCTCTTCAGTTCTGTGCCTCTGATCAGACAGGCAGAGAGGGCAGGCAGGTCAAGTTCATTGCCTGTGCTACCAGGAAAGAGATTCTTGTCTCTTTTCTTGCAGGCACTCCCAATGGCTACAATTGGTTCTGGTGGAACACTTCTCATTTAGTAGATAGAAGGGAAGCAAAAGACCTCGTACACTGTCCCAAGTTAATGACTTAGCAATTCCCCGTGAATTTTCTTTCATCTCACAATTATGTGTTAATAAGGATTAGAAAAGGCCTATGGTATAATGTAACAGGGCTGGCCCAGCTTTTAATAAGTCGTAATGGGGTGCATCTGGTTTCCTTGATGGCTCTTTCGTGAACAATATTTCTCAACTTTGGATGGTCATAAGAATCATCTGGAAGCTTTTAAAAACACACAACAAGCTGATGACTAGATTGCACTTTTAGGAATTTTGATTTAATTGGTCTAGAGTAGCAGGTTGGTTTAAAAATTCCACAGGCCATTCTACTGAGCAGCCTTGGCTAAGGAATGCTGGATTAGAATGTGGGTGGTAACTAACACTAATTACTTGTATTTATGGCTTTTAATTACTGTCCTGGAAGAATCCCATTCAGTATCCTTTTACACAGTGTATTAAAGAAATAGCAGAATATGTAAGAGTTCCTGTAATGCTGGGGCTGAAAGAAACCTGAAAGATCATCCTGTTTACTTTCTCTCCAAATGGGGCCTGTGAACCAACAACTTCAAAATCATCAAGCACTTGTTATGAGCCTTATTCTCACACCTCCTGAATCAGTCTCTCTAAAGTGGGGCTGAGGCATCAGGAGCCTTAGTAAGTTCACCTAGATTATTCTTGGGCACATTCATGATTTAGAACCATCAATCTGTACCAGAGTTTCTCAACCCCGACTGCGCATTAGAATCACATAGAGGTTATAAAAATAGCCATGCCAACTAGGCCAGTGGTCCTCAACCTTGGCTGAACTTTAGTATCACATGGAGGGCTTTAGAAAGCCTCGTGCCCAGACCCCACCCTGTGCCAATCACATCAGACTCTGTGGCTTTTAAAGCTCCCCAAGTGATACCGATCTGTAGCCAGGGCGGAGAACTACTGTTCTGAATATTCTGGTTCAGTTTGCTTGGGGTGGGTCTTAGGCATTAATCATTTTTAAATGCACTCTAGATCATTTGAATGTGCAGCCAAGGTGAAAAACTGATGAATATCAGGTTTCCAGCCTTTCTGAACTTCCCCCAGTGTAGTTACTCAGTACCCTTTAACCTACAGATTCAGGCTTGCCCTGCACCAGACCCAAGCCAGTTTTGACCTAGGCTGATAGGCCTGGTCTCATGAGAAGTTATATGTCCATCTAGACATAAATCTCTAACCTCTGCTTTTCTGAGCCAGTCTCACTAATTAATCTATCGTTCATTCAACAAATATGTATTAAACACCTAATATTTGTTAAGTATTATTCCTGATACCTCAAGAAGCTTATAGACTTGCAAGACTATCTTTTTTTTTTTTTTCCCAAACAGGTATTGCAGAAAGTAGCTATTACAATGGATGAGTGAACAAAAACTGTAGGAATACAGATATGATAGCAACTAAATCTGCCTTGGAGAAACAGAGAAGACAAGTCTAAGGAGATGCTATTTTAGCCAAGTCTTCCCAATATGACCTAAAACACCCTCCAGTATGTGATTTCTCTCTACTTCATCTCTTGCTATTCTTGCCCTGACTTCAACTTCAGCCATACTGAGCTCCTCTCAGTTCTTTAAATGCTCACACTCTCTTGACAAGACTTCAATCTGCGTATATTTTCCTGGAACATTCTTCCCTTTTTCCCCATCTGCACCTCCTCCCTAGACCCTGCTTAGCTGTTGTTTCTGCCACAAAGAGGTCTTCTCTGACCTCATGGATGATGATAAATGTCTTTGTTACACATCCATGCACTAACTTGTAGTACTTCTTTTATAGCTCACACCCACTTTATTGCATGTCTATGACCCCTCAAGTCTGTAAATTCCACGAAAGCAAGAGCAACCATCTGTCTTTACCACGGCGTGTCCCTTGCACAGCACAGTTCCTGCCACTCCTAGATGAATGGGATGAATTGCATTCTAGGAACGGGTGATATGGACAGAGCCATAGGGCATGGAATTCTGTGGCATGTCCTAGAATAGCAAAAATGTTGATGGCCAAAGTATAAAATGGGCAAGAGGAGGTTTCTAGAGACCAGTCAGAAGAGGCCTGTTGTTAAGGACCTTGTATGTAATCCTAAGTGGTCTGAACTTCACCCTGTAGGTAGTGGGAAGCCAGAGAAGGTTTATGTGGGGAAGTATAGTAATGAGGTTTACCATTCAGAACAATCATTCTGGAAGCAGTGCAGAGGATGGACTGAAAAAGAAAAGATTAATTCAAAGGGCAGTTAGAAGACGTTTCAGTATTACTGGTAAAAAATAATAAAGGCTTCCCTGAAGTCATGAATCAAAGGGGCTCCATTCAAAAAGCATTTTTGAGATAAAATCAAAATCCCTTGCTGATCAACTGCTTGTGGGGGTGAATGTGAAAGATGATGTTATGGCCTAGCTTGGAAGACAGGCCAGGGATGCTATAATGGAAATATGGAGAACAGGAAGAGAAGAGCTAACAAACAAAACAAAAGACAAATGAAAAAAGCTCATTTTTAAACATGTCAGGAGTTTTACATATCTGGGGACATCTAGGTGTAGAGTCTTTTGTGCAGTTAGAAATGTGTAAAATTCTTAGCTTGGTACCTTATTGATTGTGGATGTGGCTGGTATTGTCCAATTAACTATGTTGACTTCCAGTTTATGTGCAAAAAGACAAACTTTTGAAAATGGCAGTGTCGTATTGATTTCATGATCTGTGCTTCTTTGAGCCACGACTGGCAATCAATTTGGCAATACGTCAAGGGAAAGTCTTCATTTAAGTTATTTACTGGCTATATTCTTTGGTTAGATACATACACGTATGAAAACCCTGCCTGAATTCTGAGGTGGTAATGGTTTTATTTTGGGTGGCTATGCTGTAGTATCCTTTTCTCATTTGATAGCAAGCTTGGAAAGGAAGTGCCTTATTCTTCTTGTTAAATAAGTGCCACGCCTGATAGGAACACAAATTAGTGAATGGATGGATGGATGAATTTATAATCTAATGGCAAGGATGTGGAATACTTTCTGGAACTAATCACTTAGGAGTTGAAAACCTCTATTCTACACATAAATGCTTATGTGACTTTTCAGTGAGCTATTGACTACATATAGCAGCAGAGGTAGAAGAGATCACCATAGGCATTATTAAAATGGCCTTGCATCCTTTCATCACATCATTTTCTCTCTTTTTTGGCAATGCAAAACCAACCTGGGAGTTTTAAAGCTATGGCTATAAAAGGTTGTGTTTCTCGATACATTAACCTTTGATACTGTCGAGTGAAAGAGAAGCAATTAAATTAAATTGTTATTAAAAACTATTTTGCTTGGTACTGTCCTAGAAGCTGGTAGGTTGGTACACGATCAGATTTTTATTTTAGGAAGGTAACATTGTGAACCATATGAAGAGACTGGAGAAGAAAAAAATGATTCCAGTTGGACAGAAGAGAGATGATGGTGAGGGCCTGGAATAACTCGATGGCAGTTAAGTGGAGAGAGCCATTAATTAATTAATTCATTATCAAATATTTATTTACTGTATTATACCAGACTATGGGTATGCATTGATAACCAAACCAGATAAATTTTTACCCTCTAGGAGTTCATAGACAAGTTTAAGAGATGCACATTAAGCAAATCATTATACTAATAAAGGTAAAATTGCAGATGTGATAAATGTGGTATGGTTAAGGAAAAGTTAAACAGAATAAAAACCTCTCAGGAGTGAAATTCACAGAACTCATTTGGTTATTGGGGTGTCAGAGTAAATAAAAGACAAGTCTCCTGCCCTTTTTCTGAAAGAATATTCAAACTGATTTGTGCGACAAGTATTATACATTAAATTACACCAAAGAAGATGTATTTGGTGACGAATTGTGTGGAACAGATTAAAATGACTTTTTAACCAGAAGATTAGATCAATAAGCTGTGAATTGTAAATTCTGATTTTGCAGTTAATTCCACTTAATTTTCATCATCGCCATTCAGTTGGAATGATGGTACTTTGCTGATGAGACACAGTTTATTCTAGATCTTTCCTTTTTTTTTTTTTTTTTTTTTTTTATTCAGATGTTGCCAGAGCGATTGAATTACTGGAAAAACTACAAGAATCTGGAGAAGTACCAGTGCACAAGCTACAATCCCTTAAAAAAGTACTTCAGAGTGAGTTTTGTACTGCCATTCGAGAGGTATGACACTAAGATTCTGACTATAGCTATGTTCAGCCATATGTCTTCTGAATGGAAAACATGTCTTTTCCACATAAACAGTTGAAATAGTTAACATTGGTACTCCATCTTTGCCTTCTGTTTTTAGCTCTTTGGACAAATGATAAAATATAATTTAGTCTGCTAAATTCTTAAATTAGATTCAGTCAGAATTTATACGTTCATGTAAAACCCAATGTTCATCTTATGGTACCAATAAAGTGACTGCTTTAGCAAATAACTGTTACATGTAGTTTAAACTATTTAGTGGTCAGATGAAGTCATCTGGAAATTCAGTTAGAAGTGATCATAATTAATGAGGGCTGAGACTTTCTTAAAAGAACATTCAGCTAAATCTTTCACAGGCAAGTCTGAAAGAGTAAGCTAGTGACTAAAGTTATAGTTTATCCAAACATTGGTATCTAGTGCAGTGATTTTTCAACCTTTTTCATCTCCTGGCACACATTAACTAACTACTACAATTCTGCATCACATTGAAAAATATTTTTTTCCCCAATCTGACAAAAAATAGGTATAATTTTAATGGATTTATAAAAATAGTAGTAATTATCTACCTTTTTTTGCTCCAAAGTGACTTTTTTAAAAGTCACGTTCCTCTACTTGTATATAAGAATTTCTTGTACCAAGAATTAACCAATCAAACACAATCAACCTTACTATGTGAGGTGACCAATAAGGTGCAACTTATATGACCTATATATTTATGGTTCAAGACAGGGCATTCATACCAGATGGCTATTGTTGTGTTGGCTGTTGTCATTATTTTGTTTGACAATCTAAGGGAAAAAGAGGTCAGTGCCCCTGACTAGATAATCAGGTATTGCATGTCTTAAAAATTCTTGTGGGACATCAGATGAAAATTGCTGGTCTAGTGTGATAATGAAAACTCTCTGAACAAGCTGGCATGCTCTTCTCACAAATCTTTGTAATGCTCTCCTGGCTAATGATTTTAAATGATTCCTAAAGTGAAAAAAAGTGCGTAGTGATAACTATTTGAATTTTGTATTGATTTGTGGTGGAATTGACTTGCCAATGAATGAATTTAATTGTTTACAGGTAAGTTCACTTGAGAGATATATGCTGTATTGCTTTTTGAATAAAATAATATTCAGTAAGCCCATCACCCCTTTCCCTTCAGGTACTAAGTAATAATTTCTTAATTAGAACCTGAAGTCCATAAATCTAGAAATCTGCCTTGCTAGAAGTCCCTAACAATGAATTACCTACCATCATCCTCTCCAAAGAGTTGAACCCAATGACTACCTGGAGAGTTTGTTGTAGCAGAGGGATACCTCTCAAGAAATGCTTATAAAAACCACCCTCTTTACAACTCTGCTGTGGTTAATGTGCTTTCTTTTATTTTTATTTATGTATTTTTTACTCCTCACCCGAGGATATGTTTTCATTGATTTTTAGAGAGAGAGAAAGGGGAGAGAGAGACAGAGACCGAGAGACAGAGAGAGAGAAACATCAACTGGCTGCCTCCTGCATGCCCCCCCCCCCCAGGGATGGAACCCACAGCCTTTTGGTGTAGGGGATGATGCTTCAGCCAACTGAGCCACCCAGCTAGGGCCCTGAACATTCTTTTACTACACCAATGCTAGTTTATGTGTAATCACTAGGTGGGAAAGACCCAGGTGACTAAGGTAGAGACATACACCACCTTTCTCACTGTAGATTTAAACGGTAGCGTACCCAGTGTAGCTGCATTTGGATTTTGCTGAGCTTTGATTTAGACTGTACTTGTGCTAAATCTTTATCATATGAAGTTGATGATTATTTAATTTTTGTTTATAATGAACATAGCTTGAGTAAATAACCATAATTGTATCTCCAAGTTTTAACATATAAATTTGACCAAAGGCTGCAGGGAAATTTCTCAGTGCATGAATTCTCAACCACCATCTGATCAGTGGGAAAAGTAAAAGATATGTGGAAACCCCATGGGCCTCTTCTTGGTTAAACTCCTGTAGTCACTCTGTAGACCAAGGTTAAATCCCCTATACACTCTTTTCTTCTTTCACAGAGTGCTACTTCCCTGGGATTTGGTGGCCAACTTTTCATTTTTAGACATTCTATCACTTCTTTTACTTTCTATTGGACTAACTAAAAGCTAGGGCACATCAAATATATATCTCTGCTCACTGGGAATTTGGCTTATGATTAATGCAAAATCTCTACCTTCATGGAACTTATATTCCAGTGAGAAAATGATGATTAATAAATATGCAGTGTGATGTCAAAGAGTGACAGAACTATAGAGATAAATAAAGCAGGATTAAGGGAGTAGGATTAAGGCACTATTAAGTTAGGATGGTGAGAAAATAACCTGCTTGAAGTAATGGAAGGAGTCACAAATATCAGGGAGTATAGCGTTTGGAGCACAGGAAACCACAACTGCAAAACCCAGAGGCAGGAATGTTCTTAGTCCATGGAAGGAGCATTCCAAAGGTCAGAATGTCTGTAGTGAAATAAGCAAGGTAGGCTTCTTGGAAGCAGCTGGAGAGCAGATCATGTAAGGCCTGGCAGGTTATGGTAAGAACATTGGATTTCATTCTAACCATGATGAGAGACTCTCAGAGAGTTTTCACCTGACATGATTAGATTTTAAAAGACCTCTGACTACAGTGAAAATACAAATGTTTGTGCAGGAGTAGAAATAAGGGAATATGGTAATAAAGGAATGAGTAGATCAAGTGAGAGATGAGAGACTGGCAACTTGGATGAAGGTGGCAGCAGTGCAAGTAGTGGGAAGTTGTCAGATTCAATATATATTTTTTGAGAGTAAAGACAGCAGAAATTGTTGATGTATTGGTTCTAAGAATGAGAGAATTCTTAACTGGTTCTTAGGTTTGGGCTTGAACAACTGGATACATAGTGATACAACAGGTGGGATTATTAGTGAGGACCAGGTTTGGAGAAGATGATCCAAGAGTTCTGTTGGGACATAGTAAATTGATGCTTTTCAGACTTCCAAGTGAAGATGTCTAGCAGGCACCTGTCTTACACTTGGGGGAGAAGTTGGGTCTGGCGATGTAATTGTGTTAGAGATATCTGTTCAAATCAACACACAGGCCTTTTTCTTTATAGAGTTTGCTAAGGGAAATGAGAACAAAAGTAAAGGAAAATAAATATGGAGACATTATGGAGGAGCTATAGATATACCTTACAAACACTGTCTGTGTTAAAGTGTGGTATGTACATCATTAGTGATCAGTGGAAATATATAACAACTATGGGCAGCCCAACAACTTCAGAAGAAAGATGACACAGTTTATCTAACATTTTAAAAAGTTGAACTAGTAAGATTAATTTTATGTTCAGTGAAATGTCCTTATAATAATTTTGTTCTTAAAGGCAAAGCATGTTATATAGAAATCATTTTTGTGACTTCATCTTGGCTAACATTTCACAAGAGTTATTTGGTATTGTTTATATTCATTAAGTCTGGAATTTTCTTCATTATTCTTCCTGTGTCACTTTACATTAACTCTGAGAAATAATGGTAAAAATAGCAATATGTATACAACAGTTATGAATCAAAGTAATACTGTGAATCAATCTAGTCAAAAGTTTTTCAATTTAAACATAAAATATGAATACACGTTGTCAAGCAGGTGAATCCACAGGCCAGTAAAGAAAAGTGCACCCATAGCCAACATCATACTCAATGGGCAGAAACTAAGTGTTTCCCCTAGAGATCAAAGATGTCCACTTTCAGCGCTCTTATTCAACATAGTACTAGGAGTCCTTGCCACAGCTACCAGACAAGAAGAAGAAATAAAAGGCATTCGAATTGGAAAGGAGGAAGTAAACATGTCACTATTTGCAGATGACATGATACTTTATATAGAGAACCCTAAACATACCACACACAAAAATTTGTAGAACTAATAAATGAATTCGGTGAAGTAGCAGTATACAAAATAAATATCCAAAAAATAAGTTGCATTTTTATACACCAACAATAACCTAACAGAAAGGGAGACTAAGAAAACAATCCTATTTACAATTGCATCAAAAAATACCTAGGAATAAATTTAACCAAGGATGTAAAAGACCTGTACTCAGAGAATTATAAGACATTGAAGAAATAAATGGAAGAAGATACAAACAAGTAGAAGCATATACCATGTCCATGGACAGGAAGAATTAACATCATTAAAATGTCCATACCGCCAATGCAATATTTAGATTCAATGTAATTCATATCAAGATACGAATGGTATATTTCACAGAACTAGAACAAATATTCCAAAAATTTATCTGGAACCACAAAAGACCCTGAATAGCTGCAGCAGTCTTGAGAAAGAAGAACAAAGTTGGAAGAATCAAACACTACTGTCTGATATCAAACACTACTACAAGGCCATAGTAATCAAAACATCACGGTACTGGCATAAAAACAGACATATAGATCAATGGAAAAGAACAGAGAGCCCAGAGATAAACCCACGCCTGTATGGTCAATTAATTTTGACAAAGGAGGCAAAGACAGTCTATTCAATAAATGATATTGGAAATATTGGACAGGTACATGCAAAAAAATGAAACTAGACCACCTNGACAGTCTATTCAATAAATGATATTGGAAATATTGGACAGGTACATGCAAAAAAATGAAACTAGGCCACCTTTTTGTACCATACAGAAGAACAAACTCAAAATGTATTAAAGACTTAAATGTAAGACTTGAAACTGGAAAAATTCTTGAAGAAAACATAGGCAGTAAAATCTCAGTCATTTCTTGCAGCAATGTTTTTTCTGAAATATCTCCCCGAGCAAGGGAAACACAAGAAAAAAATAAGTAAATGGGACTACATTAAACTAAAAAGTTTTTGCACAGCAAAGGAAACCATCAACAAAATGAAAAAGACAGCTCACTGAATGGGAGAACATATTCACCAGTGATACATCTGATAAGAGATTAATATCAAAAATTTATAAAGAACTTATACAAC